TGCGTCTGTGCGTAACTTAAGTCTTACCTCCCTGTAGTGGTACTGAACCCTTCACACACACAAACATGAGTGAACACTCTGAAAACTCTAGTATAAAAGATAAAGCTGCATTCATTGCTTTGTTAGCAAAACACAATGCTAAGCCCTCCCCAGCTGGGGAAGAATGGGCTCAAAATAATTGGTTTAACCTGGAAAATGTAACTGATAGAATTTGCTCCCTGCAACATGAGGCAAAATTCAAATTTGGCCGTAATAAAACCATAATTTGTTCTGTATTGGGAGCTTGCCTTACGTCAGCTGTAGAGGCTCGCACGAGACGAAGGCAGGAAGAGAATGTAATTATACAATCCCTACAAAATTTAGTTGAAAGTTTGCAAAATGAAATTCATTTCTTACGAACTGCTCTGAGTGAGGAGTGTGCCAAAAATTCACAGTGTGCTGATTCCTTTAAGGAGTCGCTGGAAAAAGAAACTCCTCAGATAAATCACAAATATTCTCAAGCAGAATTACATTTGGTAAAAAACTGTGGTGAAAACTGTTGCTCCCAAATAAGACCTTTGATTAAAACAGAATATAACTATATCAATGATGAAGATCTTGATCCACATATAACCACTAAAGAAATCCCGTACACTGCTACTGAATTGGCTAAGTTAAAAAAGGAGTATGGGCGTCTCCCTCACGAGTCAGAGACAGAATATGTATTTCGAGTGTCTCTCACAGGGGGAGATCAAATTCGATTATCTGAACAAGAAGCAAGTGGTTACTGGGGACATGGTGTTTTCATAACAACAGGAGATAACCGCAACCCATGGTCCCTAACACAGCGAGCTGCATATTGGGCAGGGGGACTTAACCCCCTGGAAAGGGGAGATCCTGTAGCTCTAACCGGCTCCCCAGACCAAATTCTCAAAAACATGCATAAGGCAGCTTGTCTACAACTGATTTATGAAAGAAAATTAATTGTTGGTTATGAATCACCAATTTTGTTACCTGTGAAAGCTGAAATTATGACCCCTTTAATTTGTGGTCTTTCAGAATCACTGAAACCTACAGCAATTCTCCTCCAAACAACCATAGATGATATCCTTGTGGGAGGAGATGAAAAAGAAGTAATAAAAAATAAAGATGCTGAAAAGAGGTGCACTACCTGGGAAAAGGGATTGTTGGTAGTTAATCCAGCTCTCATAGAAGTAGAAAAAATTACACAACAACAACCAATTGCATTAAAAGGCCCTTTTGAAATTACTAAGACAGCCACTACTGGGACTCTCCACCCTGACGGGGTGGCCCAGAGGGCCACAGTGAGAAAGTGGTATGCCCAGATTGAACATGACTCTAACATCTTCTCAATAACAGAAGGAGCTGTAAAAAATCAAGTGATACAAAAAACTGAGAGCTTAAGTAGCAGCCATGACAAACCTGACTTGATAATTAAAGAAACCCCTCCCAACATAAAAACAGAAAAAGGTAGGCTGATTTCTAGCCTACAGTATTGGTGGAACTTGGGGGTGAAGAAAGGGGTACCGAAGGGTTTAATGGTTAACCTGCCGCTTAAAAAATTAAGTAAATTGGTCTCTCAGTGGCAGGATTCCAGCCCCATTATACCAAGCGCTCCACCTCACCCTCAACTGATTCTGGGCAGTGGGCCAAAGCAACACCACTCACAGGTTCTGGACAGTGAGCAAAAACAATCAGCAAACTCTTGGTTCACTGATACCTCTGCCAAACGAGAGGGAGAGGTGTGGAGGTGTGGGGCAGTAGCCCTCCACCTTTCCTCTGCTGAACAAATCGCTACTGAGGAAGAAAGCAGCACTCAGGCTGCAGAGCTGATAGCTGTTTGGAGTGTTTTCCAACATGAGGTACAGAATACCTCCCTTGTCTGTATTTACACTAACTCCTCTGCTATGTTCAAGGGATATACTGAGTGGCTTCCTTTTTGGCAACAAAAGGACTGGGAAGTAAACAGAATTTCAGTATGGCAGAAGGAAAAGTGGCAAGAAATTCTACGCTTTCTGCTGGTAAGAGTGGGGATTATATCTTGGTTAGTCCAAACTGAAACTTTTAAAAGAACTACAGGAGAATATTCATGGGTAACCTCCGATGCCCTGGGGATAGAGCATTGGATAAACACCCACTGGATAATTCCATCATTTTAATCTCCTGCCCCTATGTGGCAGACTCTGTTTTGTTTATTTTCTACAGAAGAACACCGAGGGACATGAAGATCAGATAAACCATGAATTTATAGATTTAAAATAAATGCTGTAACAAGGTCTATATTAAGTGTGATAATCACATACCATGGTGTAAATACCCCTTTTGTGCTGAATGGTAAAACTAACGTTTTCCCTTCTTTTCTGTTAACTCAAGGTGATGACGTTTCAATACGCTGCAGACTGAGTACCGGATCCCACACTGAGCCTGTACACAGTCAAGTTGCCGGATCTCGTGGCCAGGTTATATCTTG